CAGCTGTCGGCTCGGCCGCGGAGCAAGGCGAGTAGCCCGGTTCAGTCACAGCCCCGGCTTTGAACTGCTGTCTTGCCTTTTAATAAATATGTTGGAGAAACTGTTCGATGGAAGAAAGGTACCTCTGTACCAAAAAAAAGGAAGAAGGTGGCAAAGCAAAGACGATACCTGTTCCTGAAGGTGCCGGGACCTGAGTGTAGGGGGAGGCTTTGGTGCAGGGCGACGTCACCCAGGGGCATGCGAGATGCCGGCGTGGGGAAATGGGTTGTTTTGTACCCCCTAATATTTGTCTTTTCATCTTCTTCCCCCACGAGAGGCTTTGGCCAGGGATGGGAACCCCAGGGAGGGTGGCTGTGGGAGAAGGGCAGCCCAGCTCACGGGGCCTTTGCTCGGGCAAGGCAGAGAAAAAGCTCTACCTGGCAGAACCATCATGAAGCATCACGTGCTTCAGCAAGGGGAGAACAGCACGAACTCACCCGAGGAGATAAAACTCGGCAACTGCTGCACGTGCGCAGGGTGCCGGCTGCGGCTGCAGAGCAGCGTCTGCTGGGGCCAGAGAGGCCGAGGGGCGGCCTCGCGAGGCTGCGGCTCGCGCAGGTCTCGTCTTTTGTCCCTCTGGCCTGTGGGACTCGCAGCCACGAGCCCAATCGTGACAAAGTTTGAAAAAGGCCTTGTGCCTGACGGCGGAAATGATTGCTCCCCGTGGGGCACGGGAAGGAGTCAGACACCGCAAGAAAGCCGGCCAGGAGGTGCAGCAGGGCGAGAAACCCTCCCTGGCCACTACGTCCTGTCTGCTCTCTTCTGGCCAGAGCTTGCTCAGTCAGTGCAAGCAGAGAGGACCTGATGCTGGGGCAAGCTGGGACTGGGGGCTGTGCAGCAGCAGGGGCCAGGGGTCCCAAGCAGCTTTCCTGAGCAAGACACGGTGGCTGTGACCTCCCTTTCTGGACCCTCTGGGCAGTCCTGCTGGAGCTCTGAGCTCACTTCTTGCAAAGACTTAGACCTCTGGTTCCACCAGGCCTTAGGAGCACCAGCACCCTGGGGCTGCGTTGTGGACACCAGCTGGGGTCCGACCCTTTGGGTAATGCAGGTAGACATGCATGGATGTCCCTGGGGAGAGAAAGCCCCCATGCACCTGAGACCTCTTCGGCTCACAAGTGCTGCCCTGTGCATGTTTACAGGCAGAACTGCCCAATATCTGCATGCTGAAGGACATCTATGTAACGGGTCCCCACTGGGAAAATCCTGGATCTCACAGGCTGCTGTGCAGCAGCAGAAAGGCTTGTTAATGCCCGTTGGGGGACCTCATCATTCCAGCAGGAAGCAGGCAGACAGTGCGCGGAGAGGCCAGGATGGAGGCTGGTGCTGTGCTGGCTGCGTTTCGGGTGCTGCCGAGGAGCTGTGCTCTTTTCCCTGCGCTCTTGCTAGGCTGCAGAGCTGCTTGGCCTGCTGGGAGGGAGCAAGCTCTTCCCTGTCCCCCTCCATACAAGGATACCCTACACAGAGCCATCTGGCTAGGACGTGTGTGTGGCCAGGCGGCCTTGGGGAGGCAAGTCCGGCTTTTCTTAAATCATCTTCTTTGATGCAAATAGCTCCATGCATAATTTAAGCTCCTTGTTGCTTATACTAAGTAATCATCTCCACTTCAGTAAAGAGATGATGGAGAGGGAGGACTTTCTTTTTGGAAGCCTCTTTTTCTTTTTTCCTCCTGGAAATGTTTCCTAGGTGTTGGGTGAAGAGTTTTTTCCCCGGCTGTGATTTTTCTCATTGGGCAGCCACTGGAGTCCACCGGGATTTGGGTGCTGCTCTTCCTGGTATACCCTTGAAGAGCTCAGCTGGAAGCTCTTTCACATCCCCCACTTCCTACAACACACCTCATTCCTCTCCTGAAAGAAACTCCCCAAGGGGATGCTCGGTGAGTAAGAAAGGACCTTTCACGACTTGCCACGGGAGTGGGAAGCACAGTGCTCCTCTTGCTCCTCTTTTTTGTAACAGGGAAGGAGAGGCTTACCGGGAGAAGGGCAACCTTGTGTCTCACTGCCCCTTTTCCTCCCTGGCTACTTCCCTTCTTGGTTTGCTACTGGGCTTGGGCAAGCAGAGGTGAGCGCGGATAATGTCTCATGAGATTGCACGGGACAAAAGCTGGGGAATCATTTTACCCGAGGAAATATGGTCAAAGGTGCTGGTGCTGGCATGGAGCGTGTTTTTCATCTATCATTTGAGGCCATAAAGGTTAATTGTGAAGAAATTTGTTTTAATGCAAAGCAGAGATTTGTATATCTTAAACCCCATCCTGACACCTCTCGGGACTTTGGCCATGTAAGCTTTGCTGTGCTGTAGGGACTGGGACAAGGTTGGTGGGCTGGTGATCATCTCTAGCCTGTCTCTCCCGCGTGAGCTTGCCTTTGCCGTCACTGGGGATGGGTGAGACTTTGTCCAGCCATGCTGGGGTCCCTCCTGGCTCCGCCAGCTGATACCAACACGCTCTACGCTTTCTCTCCTGCAAACAAGCAAGGCAACCTCAAGGGCTGTGCCCTCCTTAGGGACCCAATACACATGTCCTGGGTGGAGAGTGGTGACCAGAGCCAGGGGGTGGCTCAGGCTGACCCAGAGCCGTGCTCCCTGCCAGTGCTCCCCATGTTGGCCTCCGCAGTCTGGACCATGGTTGACACCTTCTTCCCAGCCCCTTGCTTGTCCCAACCTTGCTGCCAGCACCTCTGCCTGCAGGCACACAGCCATGCCTCCCCTACACAGCCATGCCTCCCCTAAGGTCACAGCATCTCTACAACCAGCGGCAGTGGTCCTCATTATGGGCTGGGGCTGATGGCTTTAATTCTTCCTGTTTTTTTTTTTCCTCCTTCTAAGAGCCACAACGTTTTAATTATTTATTTGGAGCGTGATTAATGTTTTGTCTGACATTATTCCACCAGGGGAGCCCCGGTACATTTTGGTTTAGTGAGATCTAATTAAGAAGTCCCATCAAGCATGTCATCCCTTGTCTTACAAGTACCTCCAGGGCTCCTCTGCCACAGCTGCACTCCTGCAGGCTCTGCAGCCCTGTATACCATGTTGGCTGGACCCAGGATGCCCCCGTGACGGGCACACGGGAGCTCAGCACCTTGTGGGAGGGATGAAGGGGCCCCAGTGCTCTTCTGCAGAGGGTCTCTCAGCATCCTTCCTCTCCTTGCAGGCAGTGCTATGGTATTTCTAACTTCCCAAAGAACAGGAAGGGGACATGGTCCTCTCCTGCCTCAAGTGACATGGAGGCAAGTGACTCTTTTAGCCTCAAAGGTGCCTTTTCCAGCTGCCTCTTGAGGGGATGCTTTGTGGCAGGGCTCCTGAGAGGCCAGGACATACCAGGTGGAAACTCCCCATTCCCCATATCCCCATCGGTCCACAGCACATGGCCCTGCTCCGGCATGGTGACACCGCAGAGTCCACACTCGGAGGTGATGTGGCATGGGGAAGCCATGGTGTGCACAACGGGCACAGGTCCTCGCACCTTGGGAGCACTCAGAAGGGCAGCAAGGCAAGAGCCAGCCCCTGCTTGGAGCAAGGCGGTGTGGATACGTTTGTGTACATGCATGCGTGTGTGTGTGTGTGTGTGCGTACGTGTGCCCACTGCCACCCAGTGGTGGAAGAGCACCCAGCCATCACTCGGCAAGATGCATTTCTTCATGAACACACAAAGATAGTGTAATGCACTACAAGATGAGTCTATTATCTGGGGGTATAGCCACGTCTGGGGCTCTGGCCTTGCTGTCCCTGGGCTGGCTGATGCTGGAGAACCTGCCTGCAGGGTCTGGACCTGCGCTCTGGACCTGCCCAGCCAAACCCCTCTCCCATGCTGGCAGTCAGGGGGATCAGCAGTGGCTGCCTCCCAGGTACCATGCACACTGCTGCCTTCCTTGGTGGTCCTCCTGGCTTGTTTCTCCCATCCAAATAATTTTTGATCTCAGCCTGGTAAGGAAAACAGGAGCCAGAACAGATCTGGG